TTTTGCTCCATAAATGAAAGAAACAATTGTGGGGGACGAGAGAACCCAAAATGGCATTAAAAAGAAGCTGATCTTGTCTAACCTAAATTGTATAATTTGGATTTGGTGTGGTGGTATCATTGACAATTTTGTTTGGGCAAGGTTTGGATCCATCGATGTAGCCTAAGAGATCATACCCGGTGAGTAAGGAACTAAATTGGAGTTTGCGGGATACATAGTTGCTTGTGGTAAGCTTTAATGGGGTTTGGGTTGCAACATTGATATTGATTAATGTGCTATGAGAATCGTTTGTGTTGTAGATGGGGTTTTTGTTGTTGGTGGTCATTGGAAAGGAGAGAAGAAAAGAAACCGGGAGGGGGGAATTGGAATTCACGCTAGACGCTCTAATACCATAACAAAGTATAAGATGATAGAAGTATTGTAACCCTCGTAAAATCTGTAATCATATAAATGTACGTATCGAGATATTTATATTCGTACGTATATACATATATAGTATATCGGTTACGTACGTGAAAATCGTAACCGAGTCAACATATGTACTGGAATATGTGGTATGTACGTATTTGTTGAGAGTAACGGGTGTACGTCAATATTTATATATATAAAAAAAACGTTGGGTAAATTAGTTAGAAAATTTCTTTTATATGGAATAAGTATAAATTAAAAAAAAAAAAAAGAGAGAAAGTGCTAATTGCCGAAATTTCGAGAGGAATTCTGAAAATATAGTTAATTTAATTACCCTCATTTAATCACATTTTGGCCCCTACTTTCTACAAATTTTCATTGACCATCACCTCTTCTTTCTTGAAATTTACACCCATCATTTCATTAATTTCAGCCATATTTACCTTGCATTTCACCACAAGCTTTTGACACTTGTAATGAACATTGAATGGATAAGATTAGGTGAGATATTTAAGTAAGAAAAAATGGGATAAGGATGCATTTTGGTGCATCCCGTAGCTGCCTTAAAACCAAGAAAGAAAGAGTCAAAGAGAGGGGAGAAAGAGGAAAAAAGGGAAGGAAAAAGAAGGGGAAACTAAAAGGAAGCAAAAGAGATTTTAGGAAAGTTAATCCAATGTAAGTAGGTTTCATTTTTTTTCTTGCTTTGTTTATGCTTTCCATGTTTATTTTATGAGTTATTTAATTCATGTGAAATGTGATTATGGTATTTGTGATGATTTTAAACACTTGATGTTTGATGATGGATGGTTAAGCATGTGTGTTGAGAAATGTGCTTTAAGAGAAGATTTTCGGATTTTAGGGGTGGAAAAACCAGAACTTGGTGTGATTTATTTCGGCATCTTAGAGTGATTTTTAGAAAAAATACAAAGCATGAAAGTTGTTGATATATGTGTCTACTATGTTCCTTTAAAATTTCGTGACTTTTAGAGATATATATATGGAGTTATGACTGAATTGGTATGGATCGTTCGGATGGAACCTCTACTGGAAAAATATTTCATTCCGAAAGTTGTGCGATTTATTTCGGGATCATAGAGTGGTTTTTGGGCAGAACTCAAAGAAGGAAAGTTGTTCATCTATGTGTCTACTTTATGTATCTAAACTTTCATGATTTTTAGATCTGTATGTAAGGATTTATGACTGATTTGGTATGGGTCGTTGAATGGACCAGCTACTGAAAAAGTTTATTTAGTTCCGAAACTTGTGTGAATTATTTAAGGATTTTAGAATGATTTTTGGAGGAAACTTAAAAAATGAAAGTTGTTGATCTATATGTCTAATATCTCCCCTTAAACTTTCGTGAGTTTTAGATATATATTTAAGGTGTTATGGCTGGTTTGGTATAGGTTGTTTAAGTGTGTCACTGCTGGAAAATTTTAACATAAAATAAATGGGCTTGGACTAATATTAATGGGCTTGGACTTGAGTTAAAATGAGATGGGCTTGGATTTAAAAATAAAGTGGACTTAGATTAAAACAAATGGACTTGGGCTTGGATTAAAATAAATGGGCTTTGACTAATGTTAATGGGCTTGGACTTGAATTAAAATAAGATGGGCTTGGATTTAAAAATAAAGTGGACTTAGATTAAAACAAATGGACTTGAGCTTGGATTAAAATAAATGGGCTTGGACTTGGAAATAAATAAGATGGGCTTGGATTTAAAAATAAAGTGGACTTAGATTAAAACGAATGGACTTGGGCTTGGATTAAAATAAATGGGCTTGGATTAATATTAATGGGCTTGGACTTGAGTTAAAATGAGATGGGCTTGGATTTAAAAATAAAATGGACTTAGATTAAAACAAATGGACTTGGGCTTGGATTAATGTTAATGGGCTTGGACTTAAATAAAATAAACTTGGAAATGGACTTGGACTAAAATCAAAAGGCTTGGTTTTAAAGTAGATGGGCTTAGACTAACGAAAATGGGCTTAGGCTAAAATAAGTGGACTTAAATAGAAATAAAAAGGATTTTAAAATTTTAAAGAAAATTTATTCTTTCATAGAGGAAAAAAAATAATAATTGGACCTTCTTTAATTATTAATGAAACTAATAAACAATATTAATGAGCGGAGGTTGTGTTCCCGCTATGAGTACCATGATTGGTATGTGAGCGCTGAGTGAATCTCGAGTGATTGTTGGACCGTGAGTATGGCTTGAGAAAGAAAGGTCTGGTACCCGAGTTTGGTTGAATGTGATTAAACATGTCATCACGTGCATCATGTGTATTGGGGGTGGAAATAAATTGAGAAAAATCATTGAGTCTTGAATTGACATGGTTTGGTAACCGAATTGAGTGGATTGGGTAATAGCAAGGAATCCATAGTGCAAGCTTTATTTACTAACACTCGTTAAGCCGGAGATAATTTCGTTAACCGTGTGCTACAACGAGGGATAATTCCGTTGCGAGCGGTAGGTGATATTGAGATCACCGAGAGAAAGTAATAGAGCGATAGGTGATAACACGATCACCGAGAGATTGGGCGCACGGACTTGCATATACCTAGGGTACCGGATTAAAATGGATGAAAATATGAGAAACACAATAGCACTCGCATATCACGTGCGTCACCCTACTTACCGAGCTTTGGCTCATTCCGTTATTGTATTTGTGTGTTGTTCGGGCAAGGGCAAAGTTAAGTCGATCGAGGATGCTACCGGTTCTCGTTAAAAGAGGCTCATGTGTCACTCATAAAAATAAGAATATCTTTTGTGTCAATAAAAAGGGGTACGGGCCTAGGTTGAAAATTTTTAGGCATTTTGAATATGTTTTAAATAATAGAACTATCCGTAATAATGTTATAAATTATATTATGCGTTTCCCATGGTTTAGTTTCTATTGTGTACGATGAAGGAAGTAAGGGACTTAGTCCCAACGAGTGTGTCGCACCGGTCACGCTCGTTAGGTAATAGGTAAGGGAGCCGGGGTGTCACAAGTATGTTTTCATTGAATGAAATAAAGAAAAAATATATTGGAGAGTTACAAACAGTAGCCTAATTACTAGCCAAGATAAAAGAGATTACAAAGCTTTGAATATACGGAGTCTATCGGTTTGTTACAACGAGCTATGGATAATCAATATCTTTTTGTTACAACAGTACGTGGATGATTAATATTTGTTATTATAACCATTTGAACCAAAAATTTCACTATTTTATTTTATTGTTAATATATGCAATCATTAGAAACCACATAAAACGAGATATATCCAACTAACCTTTACTTTTATAACTAAAATTTACTTCATGAATAAATATTTTTTCTTGATTTTTTAAACGAGAAAACTATAATTTTAGTGCTCAATATTCGATTTTTTTCCTATTTTAGTACCCAATCAATAAATTCTTCTATTTCAATCGATTTTTTTTTAATGTACACACACATATATAAAAGATTCTACAATTCACATCAATTGTTAAATGATTAGTATAAGTAGTAAGTATAACGATAAAAGAAATTGTATTACTATGACGGATTGAATTTTTTACAACTATAAACATGAGAGATTATTCTAACATTTTTTTATAATGATTTTTTTTATGCTTAAATATTAAAAAAAATAAATCTGTGATCTCTTGTAAGTATAAAAATCTCAATATACCATATGGCTAGTATGATGTTATAAGAATTTACATTAAAATATGTTTATATTTATATGAAGTATTACAAAATCTATTTGTTCGTACAAATTCATTTAGGGTTAAGATTTAAAATATCTATGATATTAGAAAAGTTTCATTATATTTTGAAAAAAGACATACTCCTAATTTCTATGCCATATAAAACATTATAGAATGCATAAAAAACATGAATGACATATTAAGAAAAAACAAACAATGCAATCTAAAAAAAAAAAACACGAGCGTATGGCATACAATACTTACATTCGCATTTTTTCAAATAAAAAACACTTCTATTCACGAATTGAATTAAATAATATGCCATATAAAAAGATGACTGAGATCACACAATAACAACATTTGAAATTCTCTAAATCCAAAAATAAACTATCAATAATTATTTCATAAGAAAGAGAAAAATAAAATAAAAAGAAGAAATATTTAAAAAAATTAAAGAAAAAAACTGACCTTTATTCTTATATTTTTTTTATTATTCGGAATGTTATTTATTTTCGCATCTGTCTTCTTTCTCAAAGTAAATACATAAAACAAGTAATGATAATTACTCTTTTAAATATTTTAAAATTTATTCTCTTGGAAAGAAAGAAAATCTCATTTTGTAAAACTGTAAAAAGCAACTTCCCAAAAAACCCTTTATGGCAATCAAAATCTCACCAACTTAACAATCAAAAGGCGAAAACAGCAATTTCACACCTCTCCCTGTCCTTTCCTCCCTACATATAAAACTCCTCCAACCACCTCTCCACCCACTCAACCCAAAAATCAATTTCACGTTACTCTGTCTCAAGGAAAAATAAAATCACAGTTTGGCCATATTCTCTCAAAAAACTTTTCATTTATACCCTTCTGAAGCAACCCACCAGTATCATCACCATCAAGAAACATCATGTGTGGCGGTGCTATCATCTCAGACTTCATCGCTCCGAACACCACTGCTCGATCTTCTCGGCGGTTGACGCCGGATTTTGAGTGGCTTGATCTGAAGAAACCCTTCAACAACAAGAAGTACTCGAAGCCAGTTGTTGTTGATCTTGACGATGATTTCGAGGCTGATTTTCAAGAGTTTAAGGATGAGTCTGATGTCGATGAGGATTATGATGTCTTTGTTGATGTCAAGCCATTTGCTTTCTCTGCTACTGCTGCTGCCCCTACTAAAAAACGTGGGCCCTCTCCTGGTAATAATGTTTTTACCTTTACTTATTTAATCTTAATTTTTACGGTTATCGTTTAGCTGATCGTAGTTTAGAAATTGTTTTTTTTTTTTTTTTTCCGCGAATGAAGTTTCTGGGTGATTGATGCTTTGCTAAATTTTTTATGGTTCTTTTTGTTTTAAGTTTCTTTATTTTTAACAGATTGTGTCTTGAAGGTTGTTGTGTTTCTGGTAATTTTGGTAATTTTCGATTACGTAGCTGGCTATGTTGATGATTACTTACTGAGGTAGTTTATGCGTTTTGGTTTCTGATCGTATTGATATTAGATAAATTTCTAGACATCTGCACTTGTTCACTGATAATTTTTTCGGTATTAGATTTGTTTTCAATTTTTTTCATAGTTTATTCATTCATGATACAGATCTTGTAGTTATTTACTTTGATCAGGAAGTTTGTCTAAATTAAAGGCTGTTTCTTCTCATTTATTTATTCAGTGTTGTTGTTGTTGTTGTTGTTACTATTATTATTATTTTTTGGTTGGCTTTGTGTTGTTAAATCCAGGGCTTTGATTCGTGGAACTAGCTTTTCATTAAGCTGTGTCCATTCTTACTTTTTGGTGGTTAAGTTTTGTCTGTGCTGTGCTAATGGGCATCACTATCTTTCCTCTTTCTTTAAGCTCTGTTTGTTTTCATAGAAGCGGCATGAAAATAAATGAAATGAATAGTGAATACTCAAAGTTGTAAAGTTGAACCGTTTGGCTCTTTATTTGCGGTTTTTGATACTGCTGTGTGCATTATCTGATGTTACTTTACTTTGGTTTGGTTGAAGTAGATTTTTTATTATATTGGTTGGACTGCAAGATCTGGGTATACTGATTTATTTTTGGTACAGTTTATTATTTATTTATATATTTATTGATAAAAAGATAGGATGTGGTAAAAACAGTTAGATCTAAGCTTTATGGATCCTTCAAATCATTAGCTGTCGGAATCTTTGTTGTTTCTGAATTCACTCTTGCATAAGAGACAGTTGTGAAAAATGCTTCTGGTGATGATCTCCCCTGTTATCTGAGGTATTAATATCAAGCTTGACTGTGGATTTCACCAGTTACATGATGATCGTGCTAGATAAATTAAATGTAGATTCAGGCTTCTCTTGTATTCTTGAATTTGAGAAAATGGAAATTGATGGATTGATATCTTGTCAGACAATAAGTTCTATGTAGTATATAAGCATTGAATTGCAATATGACTCCAGGATAGAGAAGTTTTTCTTCAAATTTTAATTTTATTTATGATTAAATATAAGTAAATTTTGGTTTTTCTATCTCTTTAAAGCCGGTTTTTTTTTCCTATTGCTTGCTTTCTGCTTCGTGATTGATTTTCTTATAAAATGATCGCAATTTAATCGATATCCGAAATTAGGTTATTGGTCTGTTTGTGTGCATTTTTTTCCTCTCATGACTCTTTTCTATTTAGGAAGTGAAAGGAAGTTCACTTATGAATGTTCTCTCTTTTTTGATATCCTTAGTCATTACTCATGTGGCACTAGAAGTACCTGTAATTGTGTATTTAATATCTTTCCCTTTTTTCTTTTCTTATTGAAGGTTCCACAGCTGTTAAATCTACTGAATTCAGTGGGCAAGCTGAAAAATCAGCAAAGAGGAAGAGAAAGAACCAGTATAGAGGAATTCGGCAGCGCCCATGGGGAAAATGGGCTGCCGAGATTCGTGACCCCAGGAAAGGGGTACGTGTCTGGTTGGGAACATTCAACACTGCAGAAGAAGCTGCAAGAGCATATGATGCTGAGGCACGTAGAATTCGTGGCAAGAAAGCTAAGGTGAACTTTCCTGATGAAGCTCCACGTGCTTCACCAAAGCATCTAGTTAAGGAAAACTCACAGAAGCCACTTTCAAAGGCAAATTCAAGCCAGAATTTCAGTTACTCAAGCAACCCAGAATCGGATTATAATAATATGGGCTTTGTGGAAGAGAAACCAATAGTTAATCAATTTGGATTAATGAATTCTTTCCCTGCCAATGGAGATTCTGGGATGAAGACCTTTACTCCATCTGACAATGCTCCTGTGTATTTCAATTCCGACCAGGGGAGCAACTCGTTTGATTGTGACTTTGGGTGGGGAGAACAAGCCCCAAGGACTCCTGAAATCTCGTCTGTTCTTGCAGCTACTCCAGAAGTTGATGAATCTCTCCTAGTGGATGATAATCCTACGAAGAAGTTGAAATCATACTCTGAGAGTGCAGTGCCTGTCGAAGAGGAGAACGGAAAATCTCTGTCGGAAGAGTTGCTTGCTTTTGACAGTCAGTTGAAATACCTTCAGATGCCAGATCTTGAGGGTAGTAGCTGGGAGGCTTCTCTTGATAGCTTCCTTAATGGAGACACAACTCAGGATGGCACAAATGCAATGGACTTATGGAGCTTCGATGACCTTTCCCCTATGGTTGGGGGAGTTTATTGAGGCAACTTTTCTGCACTTGCTAGGTTTTGTAAATAATAAGGCTACATGTTAGGGAGTTTCATCTCTATGTTTGCTTCTTATTTACGGCTAAGGGTTTGCTTGAAGTGTGATAATTGCCTTCTTTCATTATGTTGCTTGTAGGGATGGTTGGTTATCCGAGATGTGGCGGAGTGCAAATAGAGCCGAACATGCTTAAGCCATAGTGTGGGAGAAGCGTCCTCTGGAGCTTTTACCGTATAAAAGTAGTACATAGGTATTTAGTTCCCTTTTCTTGTTACATTTTATGTCATTGGACTTGGGAAGTTGGACATGATGACTGTAATTGACAATGTCGTGTGATTTGTGTTAAAAACTAAAGCCATAAATTTCAACTTTGCTTTTGGTTTCCCTCACGGCCACCATTTTTGAATTCTGATTAAATTAAATTCTTGTTGGTGGCATATTTTGGAAAGGGGAATAAGTTACCAGTTAGTTTGAATAGTCTCCTCTCCATATGTCCAAATGCAAAGAATGGTGGATGAAGTCAAATTAGGGTCATTTTTATTATATTTCTTGTAATAAAAGATGGATTATTCTCTCTTACTCGCAATTGCAGATGGAAAGGTGATGGAGTCTGTCATGGGTCGTTATCTTTTCCTCCATAGAAAATGTTTTTAAACGCACATCAGCCCATGGGATCATTCAGTGTTATATCCTTTTCTTTGAAAGGTTCTGGGTGTGATCATATTGTTTTAAATTCAAGTCCTAAATGGGTCGTAGTACATAAAATGTACCCTGCCTGCCTGGCAGCGAGGAAAGAGTGACTAGGGCACCGGAGAAGGAGGCGATTTCCCAAACATCTTCCACGTGGCATATAGTAAAAGGTCGCAACTTTTCAAGGGCGGTCGTCTGCTGCTTCTACGTATCATCAATCCTCCCCCAACTTTAAGCCAAGTAGCTCCAAAATTGAGGTGGTGGGTTAGAGGAGAGGAGGGGTCTGGGTTGGGCCCCACTGTAATATTTTTGGGAGATCACACCACCTAGGATTGCGAGCCCCCATCTCTATCTCAGAGACTTGAAATAATAAAATATTACTGTACAAAAGAACATGACAGGGATTCGACGTTGACGATGCGTGAGAAGGTGTCTCGTGACTTTTCTATCAACAATTTTTGAGCTGGTAAAAGTTCCGTGTAGCAGCAAATGCCATAAATCAAGCATGTGCCACTGTTTGCCCATTAGTGAGTACTGGGCTGGGCCAGTTTACTTGCCATTCTGCACCAAACTGACAAACGGGGAGAAAGGGGTCCTATCCTATCTCGTGTTTCCGGAGGACTAAGTGCGTTAGCTACGGGGACTTGACACACGACTGGAAGGAAAGGAGGCCAATTGTGAGATCAAATTTGGACAACCAAAACTCAAACTTTTGTCTAGGGAATTATGACAACTTTGGTAACATAGACTCCGTTGAAGCTAAATTAAATCAGTTTGATAGCTTGACACGGTGCCTGGTTCCTCTATTGTGATTGGTTGATATGCTCTATTATTGTAGTAGACTCCTATGGTGTTTAATGCTCAACTGGGGGGCTGAGCTCCAAAGACTAGCGGTCCGGTCCTATGGTGCGTCTCTATTGGTCATCGAAACTGAAGTTATAGGGTACAAATGAATTGGAAGAGTTTCGGTGTTCTTTTCTTTTCTTTTTTTCGATCCGATTTGAGCGTTCCCGTTTGAGGCATAGAACGATAACATACGACAGAAGCCCAACAGCCTGAAACGACAATTGGTTTTTGTTTCTGTCATCTACCCCGGATCAGGAAAACTACCGAGTATTGTTGTGGCCTATGGCAACTGTTTGATGTCACTATTTGCATCAGTATTAATTCCAATGAATGTTAATTGAAAACTAAAAATGTTCCGTAGCATACAATATATATATATTTTTTGTACGATCAGAATATCTTTGAGTAAGTTTTATGTATAAAGATTAAGTCTATCTTTTTAGCCTTGTCCAGAGCAAATTATTATGTTAAAACTATGGGAATGCCATACAAATTAAGAGGTTAAAACACCCCTTTAACCAATAAGCCAAGCACTCAAGCTAAGGTACATTACGTCTTCTTGCCAATTCCAGTAGAAAATGAATTGTGCAAACAAGCTAGCCAATTATGTTGGGCTCGGTTCAGTTTTATATGGGTCTAGCTGTGGCCCATTAAATGGTGAGAGAACTTAAGCCCAGCACACGTTTCAGGATGATGCACCTGAAAGAATTGGAATGGAAAAGGAAAGAGCTTCGGGGAAAGCATGATCCTTTATTTGGGCACAAAGTTACATTTTGAAAGTCACCTTACGAAAGGAATATGGGAATGCTATAGTTAAGAAGTAAACATCATATTCCTTCAGAATCAGGACTGATAACCGATGCCAAAATAACATAACAGTCAAAACTATTTGTTTGGGCAAACACTAATATGAAGACATGACATGGATGTTTCATCAAAAAATTCTGGTTCTTTGTGTTGTCCAACATTCCATGATGCATTTTCTTACAAGACCTGCTTCTTCTTTGTATTGTTTTTCTTTCTGTTCATAGTCATAGCCATTGGGGTAGCTGCATTGGTTGTTATCTTCATTCTGAAGCCTCAAGAGCCAAGGTTTTCTCTGGAGAAGATAAAAGTGAATTCATATAAGCTCAGTGCTTATTCCAATTCAACACTGTTTATTTCATCTGTTGTCTCTTTGATCCTAAATGCTCAAAATCACAACAAAGTTGGCATAAAATATAGCCCGTCAAGCCTTCATATTTTCCATCAAGGAATTCCAATAGGACTAATTCGAGTTCCTCAGTTCTATCAAGCAGCTCATAGTGACAATGTTGGTATAACAACACAGATTTCCCTTCCTCGTTTAAATGTCACCCAAATTTTTGATCAAGGTGTCTCAAAAGAAAAGGCAATGAAGAATGTTGTACAGATGAAAGTTTTAGGCGATGTTAGACTCCACTTGCAGTTATCTCATCTAACATTGCCCAAGATCAAGGTTTGTTTTTCTGCATAGCATTTTATTAAGTGAAACTAATTAATGAGGTGAACGAATTGCATTCAAATGATAGGGAAGGATTTCCCTGTCCTCATAGCCAAAAAAATCGAACAGTAGAGGAGTTTGCTTCCCTAGCTAGCATAATAGAATTCTCTGAAATTCCAGAGAATGATTTTATATCTCAGCCTTTTCTCTTTTTCTTATAACCTTGTAATCAACTTCTATGTTGGTAGGTTGCGCTGGAATGTGACATAGACTTCAACTATAGAGAGTTTGCATTCCGAGATGAACTTTTTGCCACGAAAGTAGTTCAAGATCTTATAGTATGTATTTTGGTTATTATGTTCTTTCACTCAGTTTTTACTGATGATGTTGAGGCATCTTATCTTATGAGATAACCAATCTCCATTCTGCTTTTCAGGCATCTTTTCCTGTTAATAATGAATCAATCTCCAAGAAGTGTACAGTAGCTTTCTATTTATAAAGAGGGCGAATTTCAGTCAATAGCGAGGATTCATGTACATAAGATGAAAGCACAGAAATGTTGATGTGTGGATATGTTTGTCTACTACTAGGGATCGAGCAATTGATCTCTGTAACATCTCAATTGTTCTTAGTTAAGCGGCTTTAACAAATTTGTTGATTCAATGGATCGTTTCAATATATCATCATCTCACACTAATTAAGTGTTAAATTTGCCTTCATCTTCCAAGCACATCGTTCCATTCTAGTCTACCTAAAATTTGAATCCCATAATGCAGAAGGGGACCCCATCTCCTCAATATCCTTCTACTGCAAAATGAATGGAGGAAATGCCAACACGAGTGCAGACAATAGTGTTGGTCACATCTCAACGAACTCCTATTGGTAGGCCAATTATGAACAATTACATAGACTGCCAAAAATAGACAGCCAATCCGTGAACTATGACAGAAGAATTTACAGACACAAACTGGAAATTGTACTAAACTATATTATCGTTGCTCTTAAACTTTTAGACTCATGAACTAATCGCGAAACATGATATCAATTATATTAAGAATATGTTATAACTGCCACTCAGATCCAAGAACTTTCAGAGAAGTTCTAATTATGATTCTGACTTTCTGTATCTAAGCTTGAAAGGTAAAATGGCAGAATTCACATACAAGCAGAATAGCGCTAGCACACATGCAATATCATAGAGTTACCAACAGATACAAAAATGGAAAAAAAGAAAAGAAAAAGAATACCCTTTCATTTATCAAGATTCACAGGTGACCTAATAAATAATGCCGGGAAAAACTAAGTAATTGTGATATAAATGAACTCCAAGATATTAACATTGCTCGAATAGCACAGCTCCCTCTACTATGTACAAGGCTGGATACTCAAGTTCGGAAAAAAAGATAAAAATAATTAGCTTATAAAACGGCCCTGAAGATTATATTAGGTTCGTTTGCTTGGTCGAGCTACACTTTCATCGGTTTAGATTTTGACAATCACTTGGAGGAATACTACACTAGGTAAGTGATAGATTCAGAAACAAAAATGATTTTTTAATTTTGAAAGAAAGCCATCTCAAAAGGACATGTAGAATAACAGGGTTAGAACATGACTGTTTGTTGGTCAAATAATACAAGACCAAAGCGACATGTGAAGATCAACATCGAACTGGCAAATCTTGCTAAAGTATTATCACAGCTTATGCAAGCGCCCACCACTAGATCAACATCGGTATTCAATTATGCAGCTCTTTATTTTCCTAAGGAACTTATTGCTAATGATGCATTTGCATGCATTATTTTCCCTTGATTTTTTTTTGAAAAAAAAAAGATTCAAGTAAGGAAGTTCTTGGTGCACATGGCCCCACCCACATATTCTAACAAATCATTGATGAATAAACAGAATGATAAATCACAATAACCTTTTTGACATAATGTATGAAATTATAGAAACTGCTTAAAAAATGGAAATTTTATAGAAATTTCCTTTTGTGCTAAGAAATGTCCATCTTACTATTTAATAAATATAGTTAACAATTTTTTTAATATTCTTTCTCTAATTTTTCAATTTAACTTTTATCTTTTTAAATAGTAATTAAGAGTATTTTTTTTATAAAAAAAGTTTCTGTGATATTTTCTTAAAAGTAAAGTAGGTTCTTGTAATATTTTCAAACTTTTGGATACTTTCTATAATTTCATGATACTTTTAAAAGGGTTATTGCAATTTATCCTAAATAATAATAATAATAATAATGTCATGTCATTGCTACAGAATTTGCTATTTAATTTTGGCCACAGCAAAATTCAATATATTTTTTATCCCTCTGTGTCCAACAGGTTGTACGATCATGTCATAAAACATGTTTCCCAACTTGGTCCTTCTCTATGCTTGAATTTCTAATAGCTAAACGAAGAAATGACACTGGAGATTGTTTTTTTAAGTTACTAAAAACCAGTTCATTGACTTTCGAAACTCTTCTTTTCACACGTTATTTTTGACTCATATGATATTTGAATCTGTCAAAATTAGCCTAATACATTTTCTAATTAAAGCTTCTTTCATCATGTCAAACTTCAAAAAGTTTGACTACAAATTATATACTTCTAAATCTCAACTCCTAGCTTTAAACCAAAAACTTTCATTGCGTTCATTTAAAAAAGGCTGGTCTTCTTTATATATGTATAATTTAGCCATAAATTCAAGAAATGACAAAATTCCTATATATATCTTTAATGTAGGTGTATATTCTGTGATTAATGTAAGCAAAACAAGTCAGCTATGGCGAGGCTAAGCCAACACTTCTTCTATGCTTTCTTTCTTCATGCAGTCCTCATATCAACAAGATGCAAAGCGACATCCGAGCATTCAAAGAAACATGTTGTTGCCTTCTTCATTTTTGGTGATTCTTTTTTAGACGCCGGCAACAACAACTATATCAATACCACAACTCTTGACAAAGCAAATTTCTGGCCTTATGGAGAAACCTACTTCAAGTTCCCCACCGGACGTTTCTCTGACGGTCGTTTGGTGCCGGATTTTATTGGTGAGATATGCAAATCGCTATTTATGTCTTTCTTGTTTGTACAATTCCCATTTTTGGTTAACCAACGTCTATTCTGTCTGCTCTGCTCAATTAATAATATATGGCATATCTTTTTCTCTAATCTTGTTCTCTTTTTTCTTTTTCTTTTTTTTGTCCCCTGGTTCAACATTGTAGCTAAGTATGCAAATCTTCCATTTATCCCACCTTTTCTACAACCTGGCATTGATTCTCATTATGGCTATGGAGTCAATTTTGCATCTGCCGGAGCCGGTGCTTTAGTTGAAACATTTAAAGGGGATGTAAGTATAGTGTTACAATGGAATTATTACTTTTGCTACATGCTACATTTTGCATAGAATTATCTACATACGCATGCTATTTAGGGAAGTCTTTCCACACATAGAAGTGCTCTACTTTTCAAATAATCCAACCATTGTATTGATGGAGTACTTTTTTCTTTTCATGGATCTGTTTCAACTACTTTGTAATCCATGCTTTCCACGAGAAAGCAGAGACCTTTAACTTTTTTAATTACTTGCATGTTAGAAGAACTAAAAAGAAGGAAAGAAGAGGTAAAGATTGGAGATCTAGAGACTGTCTTTGCTTTGAACCAAATATCTAGAGACTTGAAATTTTTTTGTTTTGACCCAAATGTTAAGGGCAATGTCAGCTCAACTTAAGACAATATTACTTTTATAGGCTGGATGCACCTAACGTTTTGGGTCCACAACTTCTCAAGTGCATCCTTGATATGTCAAAATCAAAGAGAAGGCCCCCGAAACCTCATGAATAGCATGCTGACCGCTTTTTTAACCTTCGAGAAAAGACATAAAATCTGTACAGCTCTAACACATTTCTGAAGTCAACATGGGTTAACATGAATGCGAAATGGCGACACACCACGCATAAGGCATGAAAATGAAAGGATTTCATTAACTAGTCATGTCATATGACTATTTTTTTAAGAAGGAAAAAAAATCTTCTTTCAGGTGATTGATCTCAAAACCCAGTTGAGATATTACAAGAAGGTGGAGAAAGGTTTGAGACGCAAGTTAGGCAGTGATGAAGCCAAGATGACAATATCAAAAGCTGTATACTTGTTTAGCATTGGAAGCAATGATTACATGAGCCCTTTCTTGACCAATTCCACTGTTCTGAAGTCATACACAAACTCCAAATACGTTGAGATGGTCATAAGCAACTTGACAACAGTTATTAAAGTAAGTACTATATATTGCCTTCTAAACTTTTGATGCATATTTGTATTTTCTGATGTTTGGTGGGCTAGAATATTTTATCTGAATCACACAAAGAATTTTTTCATTAAATTCAAATTTACAATTCTGGTGTCATACATACACACACATTATTTTTTCTTTCCATTTTTACTAAATTTAACGCATGCATATATCAATCTATATATTGGTGCTGATTTGACAGGAAATACATAAGATAGGGGGCAGAAAATTTGCATTTATGAATTTACCGCCACTGGGCTGTCTGCCCACCATCAGAATAACCAGACCAGATAGTAATGGTAGCTGCTTGAAAGAAATTTCATTGCTTGCAACATTACACAACAAAGCTCTTTCCAAGCTCGTCTTTGAACTGGAGAAGCAATTGAAGGGGTTCAAACATTCACTCTTCGACCTCAACAACTTTCTTCAGCAAAGAATCAATCATCCTTCCAAATTTGGTGAGTACTCCGAATCTATATACTCGTCAAGAATTCTCTCATTTCATTGATGTGGGGATTTGTGGGCTCAAACCCAAATTATTGCGTGGTAGATAATTTTTTGGGCCCATTCTCCTTGTCCACATAGTTCACTAGTTTAGACCAATGAACTTAGCATGTGATTTCATATAAGGGAGACAGTATAGATTGGTAAACGGCCTGGCCCATTGATTATCTAACATTGCTTTGTGCTGAAGAGATTAATTTCTCTTCAAGGACCTAGCCCACCAGGCTTTCTTTTTCCTTTTTTTTAAAAAATTAATCATTGTAATTTTCGAACATGGGAATTGATTGGATTCACAATTTGGATCACAAAGGTTTCAAGGAAGGGAAATCAGCATGCTGTGGAACCGGGCCTTTTCGAGGAGTTTACAGCTGTGGGGGAAAGAGGGTAGTGAAGCAGTTCGAGTTATGTGAAAATCCTAATGGATATGTGTTTTGGGACTCCATCCATCTCACTGAAAAGGCATACAAACAATTGGCAGATCAAATGTGGAGTGGAGAGGTTGGCCACCCTCACGTTATTGGGCCTTACAATCTAATGAATCTATTCCAAGCAGAAGCTTAGACGAAAAATGGAACTGCATTCAAGTCATGGTACATTTGTTTCTTTTTATCACACAGGAGTGGAGCGAGATGCTTTTCTTTGGGAGGCCATTTTTTTTTTTCATCTTTTTATGATTACAAAAATCAGAAATTACTGGTTAATAATAGTCATGGTGGGAGCAATGTTGTTCTACAATTGGATGCCAAAACTAGCATTTTATTTTGATGGACAATTTGGATGGACATGAATAACAAGGAATGGATTGAGAAACTTGGAAGGTGAGGAAACATTTTGAGAAAAAATAAAAAATACAAAGATCTCGAGCTCATTAATATCGACGAAAGAAAAAAGAAAAAGTCTCTTCATTTTTTGCACTATCACGTTATTCACATATGCCTCTGTTTTGTAAGATGCAACGAGCTGTCAAAAAGGGCCAAAAAAAAAGTTATTAAAAGTCAACTAATTAACCACGTAAACTACTAGAAAAGTGAAAAATACTAAAAGCAGGAGCAATGGCAAGTCCTTGATAGTACAAGAGAAATTATAAACAAAAGAAATCCCGACAGCATATTAGGTTGAAATCACAACTTTTTGGATTTGTAGACGTTAGCACTTAGCAGATAGAGGGTAAATTTGTTGACAGGAAAGCATGACTTGGCAGAAACAAAAAAAATAAAAAAGTCATGACTTGTCCTTACATATCGGATTTGTAGACTTGTGTAAGACAAATTTACATTGACTCTAGGAGGTTCTTTTCGTCTTCCCACTACAGAAGAATGGATAAGCTATAAAATGCAAAGAAAGAAATAAGTTAAGAAAAACATGGGAACTTCATCAATATCAATCATTTCTTTTTATTCCTTTATTTTCAGCGCAACCCTTATCATGATCCCAACAAGATGTCTCTGCAATAACCATGTTTCTTTGTTCATCTTTAGAGATTCTATTCGATGATGGAGATAATAATTACCTCAAAAATGTTGTTGGCAGGGCTAATTTTTGGCCATATGGAGAGACTTTCTTCGAGTATCCCACTGGCACAGCTTTTCTGATGGTAGAGTAATTCCTGATTTTATAGGTATAAAACTTTAGAATACTGTTGTCGCTTTTAGCCCATTTGGTTCTTTTCTCTTTCCTTGTGTTGAGAAATTAATGAATCACTGGTGATCATTGCTGCAGCTGATTATCAAAATTCGCCATTAATTCCGCCATATCTGCAACCTGGTAGCTACAGTTTTCTGATGGAACTAATTTTGCATCAGGAGGAGCTGGCGCTCCAGCAGAAACTCATCAAGGACAGGTATGTGAATCTTGATCTTTGGAATTTTTACTCTCATTTGAATTTATTGAAACATAGATGAGTGATACATCCTTGCTGGGTAGGTTACAACTCAATGGTTTTTTTGAAATGTTACAATTGTCAAGTTATTTTACAGCGATAGACCTGAAAACCCAGGTGAGTTATTTCAAGAAAGTGACGAAGCAAGCAAGAAAGAAAGTAGGTTATTGTTAATCTTGGAAGTATATGAAAATGGAGGAACGTAGTTTGTGCTTTGACCTCTGGGTTGCTTCCCAACAGTCAAAGCACTTGAACAAGATACATCAAAGGTAGGTGCTTGAATGAAGTTACATTGCTTGTAAACCTACAAAAGAACACTTACAAAAGCCCTCAAAGAACTTCAAGAATTTGAACATTCAGATTTCAATTTCTATTCTACACTAGCTGAAAGAATTAAACATCATATATTATTAAATTTAATTTTTGAGATTAAGTATCTTTCAAAAAACTTAAACCTCATGTGAATAATCATTTCTCAAAACATATATATATATATATATATATATATATATATATATATATATATATATATATATATATTCAAAAATTTTGTTTGGATTAAAAAGAGCTTGTATTTAACTGTATTCCTATTACTCTCTTCATTAAAATTGGTTTTGTTAGTCCACATGTAAAAAAAAAATCATTACTTATTTACTAAAGTCTAATTAGGAAGAGTAATTAATATTTTCATTGATTGGGGGAACATTAAATAATCAATTATTTACTAAAGTCTAATTAGGAAAAATAAAAGTCTAATTAGGAAAGGAAATTGCAGAGTGCAATTGAAAAAGTCTCAAAAAATAAATATATATATATATATATATATATATGCCTCAAAGTTCTAGCTAACCACACCGATTTTTTTTTTTTTTTTTTTTTTTTTTTTTTTTTGCATCTATATCATCTATGTATCTCTATGCTCTGATTAATTTTTTCATAATCCTTTTGTTTAAGGGTTTGCCATAGTTAGTTATGAGTATTCTTGCATTCTTATAAATTCAACAAATTATCAAGTCATGAAATACTTTACGTTTTTCAATTCAAGTAATTGTCGCAAGAAATTTAAATAATAAATATCACGATGTTACATTTATATATATATATATATATATATATATTAAAGATACCAAAATGGCAAAAAGAAGATAAGAGAGGCTACCAATCCGAACAAATATCAGCCCTAAGAAGTAGGACAGTTGCATTGGGCAGCCCAGAAGCACAAATTAACCTAGGAATATGTATTTATATGTTTTTCGGATGGAGAATAAATAAATTTTTGTTCAACATTCCTCGTACGTGTAAGGCCCATTACCATGTACAGTACTACGGTCAACAATGAAAGCAGAAGACAAATAACCGTGCGACATGCATCTAAGAATCTTATGGAAGTATAGACTGTGGTAAGTATTTTATCACAGCATGTGTTGAACATCATTAACTTTACTCATATTCTCCCTGTCCACCCAATAATTAAAGACATTTGGAAGCATCAGAATCGTAATCAAAAGACTTTTTCCTTTTCTTTTTCTTTTTTTCATGCCTACATTATGACTTGAATCCTAATCAAGAATTTGGCTGTTTCATTCTTTCTATTTTTTTAGGGCAGGGTTATTATTATTATTATTATTATTAATATTATTATTATTGAAATAGCATATTTATATATAATACTTTAGACATGTTTTCTGTAATATTAATGCATAATATTGTCAGCTTAATTAACAATGAAAAACTCTTCCAATAATAGGTTAGAGAAATATTTTAATGATTATTAGAAGATGAAGTGGATAAAAAATAAGTTAAGAAACTTAAATCTTGTGGGTCAAAAATACGTTATTGCGCCTTCTTGACATATTTTGTGATTTTCGTGTCAATTAAAAAAATTGAGTTAGTTTCAATTGACTCTACAAACAATTTAATTACTACTTAACTCTCTTTCCTTTTTTAAATATTTGTTTCCTTGCTTGTCGGAAATAAAAATAATTGTTTAGTTCTAAATGTGATTCTTGAATTGATTACTAAAAATGGAATTCATTATTCTCCAATGAACAAAAAGCTATATTCATTGGATTAATTATTTCAATTGCTTCTATACAAGTATTAATTATTTGTTTGAAAATTAGATCAAATTAGTCTCTTTCTTTCGAGATTACAAATTTTTAAGGAGTTTTAATTTATAGATGTGATACTGCGTAAATAAATTCTATTGCGTATTTCTGTTATTAGGGTTTCACAATAAAAATTAATCCTTATATTTGATGATACCTTCACATTGAATATTTTTTTATGATACCTTTACATTGATTTTTTTTTTTTTTTTTTGGAAATTGGTTGATCAGAGTTATTTAAAACCATGATAACTAAACTTGGATGGATTTTTTTATATAAAATACTAAATTTATTAAGCACATGGATAGAATCGAGCTTAATTGAGCAAAATGACAAATCCTCAGTGATTAGGAAAATCCAACCGAGATAGATCTAAAATAAAATTCAGTTAAATGGATTAAGTATCTCTTCACTTTATTTCATTTGAAAATCTTTTTTAAAAATTTTAAATTTTAGATTTGACTTCTCATGAATTTTAATTTTTCTTTTAGATTTAGTTCATTCTATTATTTTCAGCTCTCATTCACTCATCTAAAAAAATCATTTTTTAATATTTTGCTCACATGTTGAGAAAAAACACAGTCTATTTAAAAAAAAAAAATCCAACAATCTTCAAGGTTGCAAAGTAATTTTTTTTATTTTTTAACTATTAAAAATATATAGAAAAAATAAAAAATAATCGAGAATGTTTCTAAATTTAAAAAAAAATCTTAGATAAATCTTACATAATGATTTCATTATGAAGTTATTTATGTGATCACTTAAAAAAATAAATGATAGACTAAATCTAAAAAAAAAAAGCTCCTTGAAGATTAAACCTAAATTAAAATTATAAAAACTAACTTTTAATTAATAGAAATTTGACTCGTTTAGCCATAAAATTCGTTAAAATTATATCATTTGACATTGTAAAATAATACACCTGTGACCTGACGAGACTCAGGGTAACATGGTAAAGTGACAATAGTAATGCCGGAGTTTTAGCATAGCATAGATTACCATCTCCTTATTAGAGCAAAACATTATATCGAAAACTTTGCACTAAACCTACGCACGTAAATTAAACGTGTGCGAATTCTTAAAAATAAAAAAGAGAGATAGAGAGAGTTGGGGGTGGGGTGGACTATATGTCGACATTTATCCTCACTGCACCGTACATCCATGATATGATAAACGGTCCCCCTAGACAACGAAACAAAAAAAGTTCTTAAAGGGATAAAAAAATTCCTTTGCTATTTTACAAAAGTGGTTTTCTACGTTGTTCCTTTTTTTTCCTTTAATTTTTCTTCATCAACGCTACCGTATCTTTGAGCATCTCATTGAGGTTATTGTAATTACAAGTTAAATAGCTTTTGGTTATAGAGTTTCAGAAATAATATTAGTTTTTAAAAAGCTTGTGTTTTATATATTAAAAAAAAAAAAAAAAACAAGCATGTTATCTCAAAAAAGTATGTCAGAGGTCATCATAAAAATATTGCATTATCCATACATGAATTAATTATTTTTGCTTGAAACTAACTTAGGATTGAAACCTTAAATAATATTTATTTCTACATTATAAGAAAGATGTATTTTTCTTAATATTTACGTCTATTTGGACATGATCAATATTCAATAGTAGAGCAGCTACTTACCTCTGTATACATAATCAATAATAGTAAAGCCAATCTAGTATATTCTTCCAAAACTATTGATCAAAATAATGCCAAAACTTAAAAATTATATTTTTATTATCTGAATGTCAGAAATTCTCTTAAACAATCCTTCCTTTAGCTTTCCATCAATGAAGTAAGCAAATTCCAATCTTCTACCTTTTTTTTTTTCCCTAACGTTATCCATTGTGCTCCATCTTGCCCTTTTTATTGGCTTCAAAATCATCTAAACATTATTGAAGTCTCAAAAAATATTTTAAACTCAGATTAAAAACTAAAAATATTCAGGATTCAAAATTTAAATTTAGTTCATTTGTTTTCAGAACTTTAATTTGAATAATAAGTAGAAGTACAAATGATGTTTGAGACGTTATGGTCAAGATTTTGTGGGTAACTTGATAATTTTTTGGTGAGCAAAAAGAGCTCATCCGAAGGCTTTCTGTTAATTTTTGATGAAATTTTAATATGATGTTTAATCGATAAAGTTTCGACAGTAATAATTTATTTTTTTTGTTCAGGCTGTATTTTAGTGTTGACCTTCGAGATGGAGAGATTCTAGAGATTTCGCATCTTTTCACAACTATCATACGAATGACAACCAAATACAAGACAAATTACCTAGTCTCTTAACTTATGCCGAAATTAGTTAACTTAAGGGATTATGACTTCATATCCAAAATTGTGACCATACAATCAGCAACGATTTGTTAAACGTCATGTCAAAATGATGAGTGTAATAGAAGAATCATTTAGTGATGCCCCGAGCACCAAGAAATTGAAATAGCAGAGTGAAATCAACAACTATATGTTGATAGTGGCATCTGACCAACCCCCTCAATCGATGGGTAGACCATGAGAAAGGCTTGACAAAATGGTCACAAAAAAAAAAAAAAATTAATGCAACAATTATTGATCCATGTTGATAAAGGCAGCTTCAAGTAAATACAAATTCCTCTGAAAGACCAATTTTGTTGGTACGTGTGTACAGGTGAAAGAGGATTTAGATAAGGTGCACGAGAGCAAAACGAAGTGGCAAATTTTAAGGCTCACAAATCGGGGAAGAGAGGTTTGCATGTAACTTTATTGAGAAGAACATACACCGTCCAAAATACAATAATATTTTATTTTATCTTATGGTAAGATTATTTCGCATATCAATTAAAATTAAATTATTTTTTCATAATTTTAAAAAAATATATATTTTAAATTGATTTGGTATGTTAAGAAAAATCTTATAAATTCCTTTAAACGCTAGATCTAAAGTCGGAATTCAAAAACTCAAAGACGAGAACAAATCTCTTTAATTACCAAATCAATACCTTAAGACACAAGCAATAATATTTTTATATGATGTAATTTTTTCTGATCAATGTATAGCATTTTTGTTATTGATTTGCGTACAAGTATACGTTTGTTATTTATTTTTGAGAAAGAGAGAGGGATAAGAACATGAGAAAGCATAAGCACGGGACCTTGTTCATCACCATATATATGTGTTACGAAGCTCTCGTCATATTCTCAAAATGGCAGAATTAGTAATCGTAGCGGGTCACCATACCTTTCATGTCAATTGACGATATTCGTCGAACTACGAGTCAATAAAACATCAACATTGGGAGAAAGAGATTCTCGACTCGGGAAAGATGAATGGACTTTTGGGTTTGTATTAGGTTTCTGTGTATGTATATAACATGGATATCATTTCCAACCTCATTTCTTAAATTATTGAACTTTTAAATTTTAAATTCTAAATTGTTGAGTTATAAATTCAATTTATATATAAAAAAAATTACTTTGAAAGTTTTTCTAACCACCATCGGCTTTGATATTGTTTTATTAATTAATTTCGTGAGATGTATTTGTTGAAATGGATCCATCAATTATAATATATATATATATATATATATATATATATATATATTATTTGAATATTCATTTATACGTACATGCAACACATGATATACCGGGGGGAAAAGGGCATGAACACGTCTAACCGTCCGAGTTAATAAAGTTAGCGATCTGACAGACACTTCAGCATAAGTATGTGAACCAGATTTTCATAAGATCAGCAAACACATGTTCCCATGGCGCAATATGGAAATAGGATAAGAGAGCGAGTATGTGTCATGACCCACTAAAGACAAAGACACGTGGCGACCCTGTCGGCCAGAGAGCGAAGCAATACATTTCACGTGGTCTTGTTGAGATGAAACGTCCACATATTGACACGTCAACCTGCCAGTTTTCTCCAGCTACTCCTCACATCTGGCCACGTTGAAACTGTCAAACATGTTATTACACTTAATTATTCTTTTTTCTTTGAAAAGAGCCCTTCAATATTAATTTCGATTTTTTCGCATCACATGTTCCTCGAATTTTTTTTTCTTTCGCTAATCAGCTGATACATTAGTCCTCTGTTAGTGCGTCAGCAATTAAATATAGATAATGTCACTACCATGAGCCAGGTGGACATCCATTAAAAAAAAAAAAAGACTCAAATTATTTTTGAATGATTTGAATTTGGAGCTAGAATTTGAAATCGGATTAATTTAAGACTACATGCTTTATATATATATATATATATACTCAGAATCATTAATAGGTTCTAATTTAAATTGGCATGCTCTGAATTATCTTTTATTTCTTCTTACTGTTGAATTCGAATTGCATCACGTTAGCAGGGAAAAGAAGAAGAATTGTACATTAAAAATAGTGATCCTTTTGTTTGGTCGCGAATCTTTTCTTCAGATTCTATATATTTCAAGCCAAATAATTGTATAAAAAACAAAGAAAAGAAACTGGCAAGGTCAATCACAAGCCCACTTGCCGCACGCGCAATCAATTCCACCCTAATGCATTCCAGTACATTGCTGCTGCATTTGGTAATCGTTTGTGTGCGTTTAAGATTGTCTTTCGAGATGCATTTGTAACACTGATACGATTAGAAAAAACATCAACGTAGTAGTGTCTTTTTGGCTCAAACATCCTATTTTTATAAAATTATCTGCACGGTATTACAAACGCATTATTTTATTATTGGTGTGTATCAGGTTTTTTTATCAAATAAAAAGACCTCGATGCTTCAGTTGAATTAACAGTCAATTTATAAAATAAATAAATAAACAAAAGTTGAACAAATGCTATGGTCCCTACCTTCTTGAGACGCTGTTATATTTTAAGTAAATGTTGGATCACCAATGAATTGATTGCTTCTTTATTTTGCGAGGAGAACGGTGTGAAATGGCTTCCCTCGTTGATTGGTTTGCTTGTGCTCACATGTTAAGCGGGTCTTTATTTTAATGCGGAACAGGAAAGATTTGGCACCTTAAATAAAGTTTATAATCATTTGCTTGGTCGGTGGGTGTAATGGCCCAATCTTTACACAGGTTTATTCTCATCTAAGTGGCACATGAAATTTGTGTTAGCAAAGCTAATAATTGTTTCTTAGCTTTCACTTTTATTCTTCTTCTTCGTGTTTTCGTTGGGAACATGTAACTTTCCTCAAATGTGACGAGTATATTTGCGCTTCCAATTCTTATCTTTTTTTTAAATTAAAAAAAGTCCTTAAAGAGTTTTTGTTAAAAAAATTAATATAGTTGTTCCAGCGTGAATAATCCGTTTTAATGTTAATGCTTTAAAATTAAGTTAAAGACACCCTAAGAGTTAAAAAGCTGTAGGACGTGCGTTTATATTTTTTTTTTTAAAAAAAAAAAAAAAAAAAATTATTCAGTATGTCAAGAATTATATTTTTTTCTCTCATAAAAACATGAACTCCATGAATGTTATTTTTTTACGAGAAAGATAAGTATAATTCCTAACATACATAATAATTTTTCATATCTATCTATAATGCATGCTTGCCTTGTTCAACTGAAGTATATTTCTTTTTGTTTGTTTTTTCCATTACTTTTTGTTCAATGACATGGCATGCCCACCCCTAATGTCACTTATGTCATCTCCACACGTTAATCACTATAAAAAATATATAGTTTAAACTATATATATATGTATGTTTCAGTCATTCTTCTACATCTACCAAAATAAAAAATAAAAATAAAAATAAAGGGTGTTTGATGTGGATTTCTTATGTATTTTTTTTAGAATGTAATTGTTGAGAATGTAATATTTGTGTTTAGTTGAAAATAGCAAGTTTTTATTGTGTTTTGTTCATTTTTGAAAATTAATGAGGAACGCAAACAAGTTTTTAATTTTATCATTAAAATTTAAAGTATCTAAATTGATGATAAGGTATCTATCTTCTTCTTTTTTTTTAATATAAACACTGTTGTTAATTCATGTTTAAAACTAATATATTAGGATGAATCAAAAATGTATTTAATCTTATAAAATTATTATTATCGCTTAAAATAATATATATACCAATAAATTACATAACATATTAATTATTTTTGTACTAATTTAAAGTCACGGAAACACATGTTAATTGTTCAAAATTTAAATTATAGTAAATTTATGTATACTACCCACTTAAAAAAAAATAGTGTAATTATTACTAAAAAAGAAGGTATATTAGACAAATTAATATAAAAGATGGGGACATTTAAATGAAGAAAATAAAAAGATTATAAGGCCAAAACTCTGACATCTCAAATTCCCTTCATTTTAAAAAGAGATTGAATATTTAAGTTCTTAAGCAATCTAATTAATGTATGGAGACATTTGAGATTCTCTAAAATTTAAAATGTCTTAATTTACCAAATACAAAAAACATATGGCATCTCCAGTGACTTTGCCAATAAAATCTCAAATATATCTGTACCAAATTGGACATTGTAATATTTTTAGGTAGCGCACCTAAAACTTTCATCAATATTTAGACTTAATCTACGTGCATTAAGATGTTAGTGTTTTGAGCACCTTCTTTTCTTTTTTCTTGTGAAATCAATTTTTTCAGTTTGAAAAAAAAAAAAAAACACGAATTGCATCTTGGGTTCATGCGATTGCCGAGAAATTGCTAGGTGTAAAAGTAATAATCTACCGATTAAGTAGAATTAGTACAAATAGTAAGAGATTAGATTTTTTATCCGTACTATACCGTGGATAGAATAAAATATATAAAATTAATTGAAAAAAATTATTTTAATTTGATAATCTGTTTTATGGTGTGAATATATAAAAATATACAAAATTAAAAATAAAAAAAATATTTTAAAATTTTTAATGTAATTTGAAATTCAATGGATGAGAATGTTTAAAAAACGACAAATTAAAGTAATAAATTTTAAATAATAAAAATTATCAATAAAAAATATTAAAACAAAATGGGATCAAATCACAATATAATTAAAGTTTAAAATTAAAAAAAAAATTGTATAAAAAAATTGAAGACTATATAATTTTAAATTAATTAGATGAGAAAAAAATGAATAATATTAAAATAAATGAAAACTATCATTAAATGTAATTTCAAATTAATTAGATGAGAATTTGAAAAAAAATTACAAATCAAAGTTATAGATTTTAAATAATTAAAATAATTAAAAAATTAAAACAAATGGGCTAAATAAAGATACAATTAAAGTTTAAAATTTTTTTAAAAAATTGTATAGAAGATATATATATATATATATATAAAGAAAAAAAGACACACACACACACATACACACATAATTTATTGTATAAATTATAATAATATATTTTAAAAAATAAAACACCAACATTATAAAATTCAAAATTCATACATTAAAAAACTAAATTTATTAACAAATAAAATCATAAAAAAATTAATTTGATGCGAATTTTAATAAGAAATAAATAATTAAAAAAATAAATTTAATTAATAAAATTGATATAATTATACTGTGTGTGTGTGTTGGGGGAGGGGGGTGCCCGGTTGCAAGCCAACCAGGACGGGCACTGGTTAGCTTGTGCAACCGGGTTGCATGTTAAAAAAAAAAAAGGGTGGTAAAAAGCGAGGGAGGCCGGGCTTTGGCACCGTGCGGATAGGCCGGCGTGCTTGGGCCTACCATTGTAGGGCCGTGTGCCGAGCTTTGCCTGTCGGAAAAAAAATCCCGCAATTTTCGATGAACCCGAGGTTGTCGGAAGTTCGAAGGTCAACTTTCGGATGCCTAAAAATTGAATTCTAGCATCATTTTTTTTCCAAACACCTCTAAATGACCGAAATAAAATCAATAAACACATTTAAAATCTTTAAAATCATTTTAACACACACAAAAATAAAGAAAAATACAAAATCAAATCGGATTTTTTTTCTTTTTCGGCTCCGATCTCCCTCCTCTAATTGTTTAATGGCTTGAAATCATCATGGACAAACTCATCTCTCAAAGATAAAAAAATCTAGTGGATTTTTGTCGGCTAGAGTGGCTTAAATGAGCTTGGTCAACAATCTCTCTCTCTCTTCCTCTCAGCCTTCTCTCGCCGGCAAAATTCATACATTAAAAAACTAAATTTATTAACAAATAAAATCATATAAAAAAAATTAATTTGATGTGAATTTTAATAAGAAATAAATAATTTAAATATTAAATTTAATATAATTATATACTCTCTGTGTGTGTGTGTGTGTGTGTGTGTGTGTGTGTGTGGGGGGGGGGGGGGTGGGGGCCGGGAAGAAGTGCTCGGTTGCAAGCCAACCAGGAAAGGCACTGGTTGGCTTGTGCAACCGGGTTGCACGTAAAAAAAAAAAAAGGTAGTAAAAGCGAAGGAGGCCGGGCGTTGGCTCGTGCGAGCGAGCTAGCGTGCTTAGGCTCGCCATTGTAGGGCCGTGCGCTAGGCTTTGCTTGTCGAAAAAAAAAATCCTGCAATTTTCGATGAACACAATTGTCGAAGTTCGGGGGTCAACTTTCATCATTTTTTTTGCTAAACACCTCTAAATGACCGGAATAAAGTCAATAAACACATCTAAAATCTTTAAAATCATTTTAACACGCACAAAAACAAAGAAAAATAAAAAATCAAATCGGATTTTTTTTCTTTTTCGACTCCGATCTACCTCCTCTAATTATTTAATGGCTTGAAACCATCATGGACAAACTCATCTCTTAAAGATAAAAAAAAAAAAAAAATCTAGTGGATTTTCGTCGACCAAAGTGGCTTAAATGAGCTTGGCCATCAATCTCTCTCTCTCTTCCTCTCGGCTTTCTCTCGTCCCCCCATGTACCAAAATGGATGAGCAAATGAACATGTGGATCGAAATATAAATTAAAAAAATATCAAAGATCAAAGTGTAAAAAAATCCATGAACAGTGAAGACACAGCAAATTATGAGAGGGTGAATAGTGAAATATAAGTCCGTGC